ATTTGTAAAAAATTTCAAATCTGAACCTATATCCACTTGAAACTTTATGTGGGAGACACATATGTGACTTCTGAAAAAATCTTCTTTCAAAATGCAAGCCCGTAAAAGGATGAAATCTTCCAGCCCATTAACACCCCATCCACCCCCCGTCCCCATCTCCACCCGAAAGAATAGCTTAAAGGAAAATCAGCAAAGTATACCTTGCAGCTAAACCGATATCGACCCTCAGCAAGCACTTGAAGCGTATGCTGCCATAAGCAAAAGTAATAATCACGTAAATTCACCAAATGTGCGACATATATACTTGTTTAATCGTTGCAACTGGACATGCAGTTCTGCAGTATCGCTAATAGCAGCCATATCCTCAAGCGACTATTCGCCGATTTGATCAAAGGCTGGAATTCGTAACGGCTTCTTATGCAGAAAACTAACTCCTTTTCCTCGGCTTGAAAATCACGCTTTCCGCCATAATGCCTAACCAAAAAACAAGCGTCATTTACGTTACTGGAGCAGAAGCCGGAACGCGGGCTTTAGCACAACACAAGTACTATACACAAAAAGAAAAATACGTTTATTTGCATATTTGCATATATCTGTTCTGTTCATAACTGCACCATAAAAAAATCTACACTTAATACAGACTAGTAGAAAATAGCGATTAGACCCTTGTCGGTTTAACACAGAGCCCGTCAATTACAAAACTATATTTGAAAGCGATTTTCAAGTTCAAATCTGACAGATGAGCTTTATCAGAATCAAAAAACCGCATTATTGTTATACAGTATCGGTGTTTAATTTTTAGCCATTCAAATTTAACGAAACTCTATCTACATTATGCGCACTTGCTGTCTTAAAATGAATTTGCTGGACGAAGTGGATGGAATCAGGCCGTTTCGCGCACCGGAATAAAGTACCTTAGGTTCCCATTTAATATGTTGCAGTTCTGTTATATGTACGTGTTATTACTTCATTCATCCGGTTGGTCATTGTTGTTTTTGCGTTTCATCGTCATTATATGGTATGATATGTTTGTCTTCACTCTACAGCAAACTGACCGCACTGCGGTGCACCGGTGACCTTCAGCAAAGTGCACTGAACGATGTAGAGTTAATGAGCGGATGCGGCTCTGGATAGTTGATAAATGCATATTTTTCGCATGATGTATCGGATTACCGTAGCTGTGAAAAGTTTGCATCGCAATGTGTTGATGTTCGATCAATTTAGCCGATGGGTCATTGCTGTTCTTGCTTTGGTTATGATTAATACATTGTTATTGTTTATCTTTGCTTCAGTTTTGATATTTTGATATGCATTTTGTATTTTTGTATCGCTCAGAAAATCTTTATTTTTATTAAATTTCTTGCTTTCATATACTCACTTTCAATCATCGCACAAAGTATCGGTCAGATAGAAATCCGTGTTGACAAATGACCATTTGTTATTGCGCCCATTTTGATCGAACGCCAAACTCT